CAGAGTCTGCTGGTATTGAAATTCCTTTTTTGGACGGGTGTCACCAGTCATATCCAGAATGAAAAAATATTGGGGAGAGGAAGGTATGCGGGGAGGCCCTTCTGCCTCCCCGCTGCAGGATTACAGAATGGGAAAGAACAGAGGAGGGAGTCGGAGTGCTCCAGCTAAGAGTCGAGAGAACCTGAGAGTGAAGGTGGGGGTGGGAGAATGTAACCAGAGACCCCCTACTCTGTCCATACTCTGACATAGCAGCCGCTTCTCTGCTCTGATATCTGTCCCTGCTGCACTGGCACTGGGACAGCTCAGTAAATTAAAAGGTGATAAGATTTCTGTCTCCCTGCTCAGGCGGTGTTGTTTCTCCATCCAAGGCCAGAGATTGGGAGGGGTGGATGGCAGGTTCTTGGGGCAGAATGGGGCTTCGTGGCACTTGAAGGCTGGTGAAGAGGAAGATTAAAAATTGGAGAAGTTGGAAGTTAAGAATCACCTAAACTACACATAGGGGAAACTCTCTTGAGTCATCTAGGTGCAGATGCTTGAAGGTATTTATGCACCTCACTCCCAATGATATAAATGGAAGTTAGGCACCTATATACCTGTGAGGATCTGGACCCTCGTCTATGGGGCCTGTGCAGGATTATTCCCTACAGCAGTTCCTAGTCATAGAATATCAGGGTTGGAAGGGACCTCAGGAGGTCATCTAGTCCAACCCCCTGCTCAAAGCAAGACCAATCCTCAACTAATTCAGCCCAGCCAGGGCTTTGTCAAGCCTGACCCTAAAAACCTCAAAGGAAGGAGATTCCACCACCTCCCTAGGTAACGTATTCCAGTGCTTCACCACCCTCCTAGTTAAAAAAGTTTTTCCTAATATCCAACCTAAACCTCCCCCACTGCAACTTGAGACCATTACTCCTCGTTCTGTCATCTGCTACCACTGAGAACAGTCTAGATCCATCCTCTTTGGAACCCCCTTTCAGGTAGTTGAAAGCAGCTATCAAATCCCCCCTTATTCTTCTCTTCCACAGAGTAAACAATCCCAGTTCCCTCAGCCTCTCCTCATAAGTCATGTGTTCCAGTCCCCTAATCATTTTTGTTGCCCTCTGCTGGACTCTTCCCAATTTTTTCACATCCTTCTTGTAGTGTGGGGCCCAAAACTGGACACAGTACTCCAAATGAGGCCTCACCAATGTCGAATAGAGGGGAACAATCACAGCCCTCGATCTGCTGGCAATGCCCCTACTTATACATCCCAAAATGCCATTGGCCTTCTTGGCAACAAGGGCACACTGTTGACTCATACCCAGCTTCTCATCCACTGAAACCCCTAGATCCTTTTCTGCAGAACTGCTGCCTAGCCATTTAGTCCTTTGTCTGTACCCATTGAGCCTGACAATCTAGCCAGCTTTCTATCCACCTTATAGTCCATTCATCCAGCCCATACTTCTTTAACTTGCTGGCAAGAATACTATAGTACAGCTTTGTGCATTTTAAATGTCCCAGATGACAAGACTTCTACAGCAACCCGTGGGAGATATTCTACATTCAAATCTCACTGTGCACATAGATGCCCTCACATTCAATGTAGGTTTTTGTTTGTTTGGGGTTTTTTTGTTTAAATTATGTCCTATTACTCCTGGTTCTATCCCTCCACCCCCCCGCCCGCCACATTTGTTCTCCTTCCTTGATGTTTACACTCTTGTAGCCAGTAATCATTCCACACTATCACCTCCACACCCATCATTTAGTCAACCTAGGTTTACTACAGCTCTCGTATTTCTCATTTCATTCTCTCTTCTGAAAACCAATTCTGTCATGATGTCCACAAGAAGAAACTTTTATAACTCATTGTAGATAAACTAATTTAATGAAACCATCCGGAAATGTAAAATCCTTACTAGGCAACCTTACTATTGTCACCCACGTGCCTTCCTCTCTGCCATGTCTGTTAGGAGCCCCATGCTTGTTTCATGTCAAATTTAGATTGCAGACTCCACTGGGTCCCTTGTTTTGTTGAGGCACCTCCCACAGTTTTGGGTGCACAGAAATAATAATGAATAGTCATATCCTCCAGCTCCCCAATCAGTTTTGTGGTTCTGAAAACCCTGCACTTTGGTAAGTAGGAGCCCAGAATGGAATGTATGCTCTAGATCTGATCTCACCCCTGCTATCTTTTGAAAAATTATCTCCCTGCTATGTGATTTGATAGCTCTTCATGTATGGCCCCAAACCACAGAGGCCTTTTTGTCCTACCATCTCCCATTTTGAAGATGTCTAATCAAGTTGCTGTTCTCTATCACACCAAATGCTCCACAGGCTCAGTGCTTCCCAGGTTTCTCCCTACTGTTAAATAATTGTATTATTGCCTGGACTGAATTTTTCCAAGTTAAAATATTTTTATCCTGCCTATTTTTCTAATCTCTATGGGTAGCTAATTATTTCCATGTCCTCAGAGCTGATTGTAACTCCTTCCACTTTAGCCTCATCTGTGAATATCATTAACATACTGCTGGTCTTCTCTTCCAGATTATTACCAAAGACCATAAATAAGAACAGAGACCCACCCCTAGATACTTTCCCAGTGCAGCATGTCCTTTGTTCTTCTGCCAGATTTCAACCCAAGCAAATGTTGCTATCCAAGCTGAATTTAATTCATTTTCCAAATTAAGATCAGAGTTTCTGGGAGAAACAGAAGAAAATGGTAAATATTTTCCTTAACAGTAGCCCCCATTATCCCATTCACTACTTGTTGTGCTTCAATGGAGAAGTAAGCATGCAATATATACTTTGACCCCTGGGCAGATAATAATGAACTGCATACATTGCAGCGTCCCCCTAAAGTCCTGTGCATTCAGGCACCAGCAGTAGTTTGTGAAAAAGTGCAGCTCGAGGTTGCTTTAAAGGACAGGCAGCAGCACAGATGGACAATGGAACACGTACAGATGGACAGAAACTACCCAGGAACAAGACGACACTGATAGTGCACAACAGAGAGGAGATAGCAGCAGCACACAAGATGATAGGCTGAGTAGCAAAGGTGACCCATGAACCCTACTGCTTGTGCCTGGTGAAATCCAGAAGCCTGATACTACAGCAGCAGCAGCAGCTATGTATGCTGGGGGTTCTGCTCCCATTTTTTTCCTTTACTTGAAGAAATGTGTTCTGTAGGGATGAGCTCAGACTATGTACCATAGGACAGACGAGATAATCCACTGTATGGGTGATGTGTTGCTGATAGCACTGCTACTCAGTTTTCTTCTCTGACTCCATGCTGGCCTGGGGAATTGTTAGTAATGTGGTCAAAAATCCTCCTCAGGTCCTGCAGATAAATGCCTCAGTTATAGCAACACATTGCAGCCTGGATGAGTGCTTGCTTCTCTATGATTTTGTTTTTTTAAATAAGTGGTTTGGAAAGCTCATTAACTAATTCCTCCTACACTCCATAAAACATAGTCCATCATTAGTATTTACTACAGACTCAGTGTTTCCCCCTTTTTTCCTTCTGCCATCAGTAACTATTTTTACAAAAGCTCCCTTTCTTCCCAATCACCAGAATCTCTATTAATCCTTGTAGAGATGGAAAAAAGTTTAGTATCGTCACATTTTTCATGTCTTTATTAACTTAAACTCCAAATTCACTCACTAACAATTACTTTCACTCTCCAATTCTTTTCAACTGATAGATTTATAAAAGGCTTATTTATAGGAACCCCTTTGGCTAACATTAACTTTTTCTTGTGTGTCTTCTTCTCCCTGAAAGCTTTAACTGATTCTTTTAGGGTTGTTTTTGTTTGTTTGTTTTTAAATCAAATCTTAACAGTTGCTTATTAAGGCACTTTGAAAAAGCAACAGGAACAGCCAGAGGAATATAGCAATGGGTGCTTACTGCTGCATCTTCTACAATTCTCCAGTTACTTTCTACACTGCTGGATTTTAATAATTCTTCCTTCCATTGTACTGTACTTCACTCACAGATTTCTTCGCAAATTCTGGAAAATGAGGCAGGGAAGTACAATGAGGGGCACAGAGAGCAGAGGAGACAGTGATGGGTGTTTTTGTGGGAGATGGGAGGAAATGGCTCCTTGACTTATCTACAGTTCGTTTATAAACTCTTTAGGGCTTAGTCACAGAAATGACTCTCTATAGAAGATTGTATTTTCTTTCACTAGTAATGGGACCGGGTTTTATCCCCTTCAGCCTTCTATGCCTGCATCTCTGCAGCCACCATGTGGCTTCCCATTGGTACTGCACTTTTGCACCCATATGTGGGTTGCAAAAACACTAAAAGTAAGAGACAGGGAGATGTCATTCAGGGGACCCTTTATGATGCCCATTTCTGTGAAATTGGACGGAGTAGGTGGCCACAGGGAAAGATATTATTAAAAAACCTTCTGCTATATTCTTTCCTCAGTGTGGCTAATTCTTATAAACAGACTCACAGCTTTAATAGCAGGTTTCAGAGTAACAGCCGTGTTAGTCTGTATTCGCAAAAAGAAAAGGAATACTTTGGCACCTTAGAGACTAACCAATTTATTTGAGCATAAGCTTTCGTGAGCTACAGCTCACTTCATCGGATGCAGTGATGAAGTGAGCTGTAGCTCACGAAAGCTTATGCTCAAATAAATTGGTTAGTCTTAAGGTGCCACAAGTACTCCTTTTCTTTTAGCTTTAATGGCAGGTGCTCTGAACAAACCCTCACCCTTGTGGGAGATTTTCCAGGACCTGATTCTATTCACAACCTACCAGGCACACTCACACTCAGGCTGATCACTGCTGTAAGGAAGTCTGCCTCATACCACAGCCCAACTATTTCTCAGTTGGCCACACTCCCTACACCAGAATGCCTGGGCAATAGCACAAGAACACAACCCCCCAAGCAGAGTCCCTGGGCACTGCTGCACAAAAGCTCATTCAAAATTCTCTCCATACACAAAGTTCCATTATGTGGGTTTTAAAAAAAAAAATAAAAAGGTGCAGTGTTCTAGACAGGAAACAAGGCACAGATATAACCAAACATGAACTCTGTATTTTGGCATCCAGAGGTAGTACATACAGGCATATAAAAAAAGTATATATGAAAGTGGCAGTGACATTGAGACCTGGTGTAGCTCTACTGGAGTTCCCTTCACCAAACAGAGAGGAGATGCCGCACTGACATGCATTCCTGCCGAGGAAGGAGCACTCCGAGAAAAACTTCTCATCTAGAGAGGAAATACCCCTTGAGTTGCTATCTTGAGCTCCAGGGTAAGGTGCCAGCTGGCAGACATGGTCACTGGTATTCTGCTCCTCAGTTGCTGTATGTAGGACGTATAACCGTGCAGCACACCTTTTAACTGGAAGAATATGACCTTCATATCTGCTGGGCAGGGCAAGAAGGAAGCAGACACCTAGCCTTCTGGCCTTCCTCCGGAAATATAAAAAAAACCCTACAATATTTTTTTAAAATAAGAAAGATCCTGGCAAAAGGAGACACACAGAGTAATCCAAGTGAGAGAGCTGCTAACACACTGCCATGGAGTAGGGAAAAAGTAGGCTCAGGAATTCAGACCTTAATCCAGCACTCCTGGGCTTTGGCTGCCATGAAACACACAAGAGGACAACAAAGGGAGGGTGCAGAAACGCCCTCTATCTCCCTGATCACACCCCAGGGCAGGTCCTGAAGTGGGAGACAATTACAGTACTGGAAAAGAGAACGCATAGGTAGATTCCAACAGATGGAGTGTCCTACTCCATCTCTTCTCTCTGACTGGCCCTGTGTGGTGGCACTGAACAGTGGACAAGCAAAGATCTCTATCTGCCCATAGTTGGGGGAAGCAAAAGTTATGGGGGAGGGGAGGAGTGAAGCTGAATTCTGCAAACCCCCCCCCCCTTTTTTTTTTTTTAAAAGAAACTTTAAAAGGAAAGAAAATCACTGTGATGAAGAAACAGTGACAGGCTCTTTGCAAGGAAAAAGATTTATACGTTACTTAAACAAAAAAGACAAGGAATCCACAAGCCTGGTACAGTTTATAGACTCATCAGAAGCCTGCTGAAGTATTTAAATGGTCAGAAAACCACAGCAACTAGATGTGGATGTTACAAAAACTGTGTACTAACTCACATTTGGAACTCATGAGGGAAACAAGCCTGGAGTTCCCAGATTCAAAATATTTCCAAGACAGAATTAGACTTCTAAAATAAAAACATACCTTTGCTTTCAGAGCTAGATCTCAACACAATGTCTTTTCCAGCTAATCTGAAATTCTCCTATGGCTACAGAAAACACAGGCAAAATATCACGACTTTAAAAAAAAAAACACACAAAACAAAAAACACAAAAACCAAACCAAATCAGATGAGTGTGTCAAATTTGGGTATATACTGGAAATGAAGAGAAAACCTTCACCATGGACTTTCAGTGGTGAGAGATTCTGTTTTACTGGGAGGAAGGTCTCTCCTGACTTCAGGGAGGGGCATCCCTTCCTGTCCTTCACAGTTGTAGACCCTGCTGCTTGGGAAACCAGGCAGAGAACTTCTTAAAAAGTCATAACAAGTTAAGCAGTATAAAAAAAAAATTTAGAAATAAGAGACCCCCTAAGCTTATTTCTACCAGTTTAGGTTAAAACTTCCCCAAGGCACAAATTCTTTGCCCTTGGAGGGTATACTGTTAAATCACTTGGTGGTGGCGGCAAAGAATCAGGGAAAGGACCACTTGGAGTTCCACATTCAGAGTGGGGAGGGAACCCTGACAGAAACAGACCCAAGTTTTCCAAAATTTAAAAAGGAAAGGCCGATTCTGATTTCACATTCCTGGCTACCAATGCCCACAGGTCTCCTTTCATTCAAAAGGTGCTGCCACCATTGCCCTGATTCCCCCATTGATTCCCCCTGGTCCAGCAGCTAAAAGTGAGACAATCCAGTGGAACATTAAGATTTTAAACCTTGAACTGAGTTGGGGGTCACCAACAGTTGCGAGATTCTCCAAGACAGAGAGGAGTTAGCGAAAGTCACACAAGCAGGAAGAACACCCAATCTTGAAGGGACACTTCCTGTTGTGGGCTGCACTGTCAGATGCCCAGACTGACAGCAGTAAAGGTGTGGCTGTCCACATTAAAGCTTTGTCAGAACATCCATCAGAGCAAGAACAGCAGGGTTAGTTCCTAGGAACATAGCCAGGGAACAGATAAAGGTCTTGGCAGAGTGTGCTACAGTATTCTGACATCTCCTTACATCGGTGGAACTCTGTGCCAGGGGCATAGCCTTCTCGCTGCTTGATCAGTCTATTCACCTGAAAGAGGAAAGATACAGGAGGTGGTTTGAGAAACAAAACAAACAGAGCTAAGGAAAACTTCATTCCTGGGGTATAAGTGAAACGAGCCCCAACAAACAGATCAGGCAGTTAAGTTACTCCAGTCCAAAGCTCTCAGGTAGAGGCATCCACAGAGAATTAGTTCTAGGGAACTGTCTTCAGTTCCTCCTAGCAGGAGGCTCTATAGATAGTGGTGTAGGAGCAATGGATGTAGGAGGCTCTGCCATGGCCATTCACAGCAGGAGGTACCACAGAGCAGTTTTTCCTCCAACTTATTTGATTGCAGCCCCCTTCTGTGTGTTTGTAGTTGTTTATGCCCCCCCCCACACCACCACCACCGAAGTATATACCGCTGCCCAGCTCTGAAGGCAGAGTGGAGAACGGCAGCTTCTGGCCAGGCATTGCCACCCTCCGCTGCTGCTGGCGATGCCTTCAGAGCTGGGTGCCCGGCCAGCAGCCTCTGCACTCCTAAAGCTTCTCATGTCCCCTCAGAATACATTCTGCAGTTTGAGACCCCCCAGTTTGAGAACCTCTGCTGTAGAGTGTGGGGCAGGAGCACTCTTCTGTGGGCAGCTCAGGCCTAACAACTTGAAGCATAAGACACTGCAAGAACCAGGCAAATGTAGGAGAGGGGTGTCTCAGTTTACCTTCACCAACATGTCAGCCACATGCATGTTTTGAGAATCCTCGGCAAACACAGAGGTGAGAGCCTCAATATACCAGGATCCACGCTTGGTATTCCTCATGGCTGCTGTGCCTGAAAACATAAAAAGTGCATCAGTCCACGGTGAAAAAAAGAGAGAGACAAACACAGGAAGATCGAGAGAAGGAAGTCTCTAGCGGACACACACAGGGGAACTGCTGAAGCTCAGAGGAGGGCTACCACCTTTAACACCCTCAAAGACAGGGAGACAGACACCTCCCTGGGACCCTCCCTGATACCTTTCAGACAGGCATAGCCACAGATCATATCAGAACGTGTGGGCAAACGCAGCCTGGGATTCTCCTCTTTGTTGGCATCACTCTCCTCGCAGCCTGGAGAGTCAGAGCGCTCTTTCCCATCCCTCTGATCCACTCCCCGGTCTGTCTCATCTGAGGGGTTGGGGAAAAAAAACAGCAACAGGGAAACAAGTTACTCCCAAACCTGTTGTGCAGTCTCCTCATATTCCCCCAGTCACTGAGCCCTATCTGCTTCCATAGTGCTGGCTTCCTTTGTCCAGGACCCAACGCCACAGCTGTTAGCACAAGAACCTTCTCTACAACTCCTGCATTTCTGTATCTGTGTCTTCTCAAATTTCAACAGAAAAATCTTTTCCCTTACCTATAACATTTAAACTCCTCTTTCCTTCTACATTTGGTCTTCTGTGATTACTGGCAGCAATAGAAACTCTGTTAATATTGTGCTGACTAAGCCCACACTACTATTGTAGTTAATTTAGTATCACTGCTGCAGTACCACTAGCTCTTATTCAATGTCTATATATTACAGTAGCATAGCTCTATAATCACTGAGAATTTGGGTGTGTTGGGAAGTTGCAGCACTCTTTCTAAATCCTGGACACAACTCCAAATCCCAAATCTTCCCCTCAATCCCAGGATAGCAGGATGCATCTGCTAAAATAGCAGTTCACAATGTCAACAGTTCCAACAGAACCCATTTAAACCTATTAGTTTTCTCTATCCGTAGATTAAATCAGGAATCCCTGCACTGGTTGCACTTTTGGACAGATTCTCTATACAGCCATGAAGACTAGAAACACTATTTAAAAATTAGAGCCTTGATACTGCATGAATGGCTGGGGATACCAAAAAGTGCTAGCGTACAGCTCGCTGCAATGAACTGACTCAGTCTGACCAGACCAGGGATGATCTGAGTTCTGCATTTCCCTCTACCCCCTACACATCTAAAGGGGACCTGCAAAGAAAAAATAGTGGTTCTTTTTTTAGTTCTTTATAACATATGAAGACTGAAGGGATTTTGGTTTTCTTTTTAATGTTTTTTCCCCTCCTGCATGTTTTCTACCTTAGACATTTCAAGGATATAAAGCCTTGTGTCTTCAGTGCTTTTCGCTAAGTGCTCTCTGGAAGACTCAGTTCTGAACTACAAGTTCTCTCAGTCCTTAAATGAAAAGGCCTGAAGGGGAGCATGGGAACAGAGATTGCCATAGTGAATCAAACTCAAGATCCATTTCATAGAATCATAGACCTTAAGGTCAGAAGGGACCATTATGATCCTCTAGTCCAGAGGTGGGCAAACTATGGCCCATGGGCCACATCCAGCCTATGGGACCCTCCTGCCCAGCCCCTGAGCTCCTGGCCTGGGAGGCTAGCCCCCGTCCCGTCCCCTCCTTCCCTGCAGCTTCAGCTCACTGCACCACTGGCGCAATGCTCTGGGCGGCAGGGCTGTGAGCTCCTGGGGCAGCAAAGCTGCAGAGCCCGGCCTGACCTGTGCTATGCGGTGGCGTGGCTGGCTCCAGCCGGGCAGCGTCGCTGCCTGTCCTAGTGCTCTGGGTGGGGCAGCTGTAGACCGCCAGCCACCAGTGCTCCAGGCAGCACAGTAAGGGAGCGGGGGGGGGGGGGGGGGGGTTTGAATAGAGGGCAGGGGAGTTTGGGGTGGTGGTCAGTGGGCAGGGGTGTGGATTGGGGTTGGGGCAGTCCAAGAGCGGGGAACAGGGGGGTTGAATGGGGGGGTGGAGGGGGCAGTCAGGGGCAGGGGTTCCAGGGGCAGTCAGGGGACAGGGAGAAGGGGTGGTTGTATGCGGCAGGGGTCCCGGGGGCAGTCAGGAATAAGAGGAGGGGTTGGATGGGGGGGCAGGGGGGAGTCAGCGGTGGGGGGGATGGGGGAGGGGTCCTGGGGGGCCATCAGGGGGCAAGAAGCAGGAGGGATCAGATAGGGGGCCGAGTCATGCCTGGCTGTTTGGGGAGAAACAGCCTTCCCTAACTGGCCCTCCATACAATTTCGGAAACCCAATGTGGCCCTCAGGCCAAAAAGTTTGCCCGCTCCTGGTCTAATCTGACCTCCTGCACAATGCAGGCCAGAGAATCTCACCCACCCACTCCTGTAACAAACCCGTAACCTATGTCTGAGCTACTGAAGTCCTCAAATCGTGGTTTAAAGACTTCAAGGTGCAGAGAATCCTCCAGCAAGTGATCCGTGCCCCATGCTGCAGAGGAAGACGAAAAACCTCCAGGGCCTCTGCCAATCTGCCCTGGAGGAAAATTCCTTCCCGACCCCAAATATGGTGACCAGCTAAACCCTGAGCATGTGGGCAAGACTCACTAGCCAGACACCCAGGAAAGAATTCTCTGTAGTAACTCAGATCCCACCCCATCTAACATCCCATCACAGGCCATTGGGCATATCTACCACTAATAGTTGAAGATCAATTAATTGCCAAAATTAGGCTATCCCATCATATCATCCCCTCCAGAAACTTATCAGTTTAGTCTTGAAGCCAGATACGTCTTTTGCCCCACTGCTTCCCTTGGAATGCTGTTCCAGAACTTCATTCTTCTGATGGTTAGAAACCTTCATCTAAATTTCAAGGCTACATTTAGTCCAATGTCCTGTCTCTGACAGTAGCCAACTCCAGCTACTTCAAAAGGAAGGTGTAAGAACATCACAGTAGGCTGATAGGAGATAAAGTCCCCCATACATTAGGTCTCGTGCAGGTCTTTAACTTGCTTAAGTATGCTTAATATCCCTTCCAGAATTTGTTAGCATTAGTTGAGAACAGTGAACATTTTTATGGATAATCATGAAATGGTAGAGTTCATGATTCTAAGGAATGGTAGGAGGAAGAACAGCACAATAAAGACAATGGATTTCAAGAAGGCAGACTGTAGCAAACTCAGGGAGTTGGTAGGTAAAATCCCATGGGAAGCAAGTCTAAGGGGAAAAACAATTGAAGACAGTTGGCAGTTTTTCAAAGAGACATTATTAAGGGCACAAGAGCAAAATATCTCACTGCATAGGAAAGACAGGAAGTATGGCAAGAGACCATCCTGGCTTAACCAGGAGATCTTCAATGATCTAAAACTCAAAAGAGAGTCCTACAAAAAGTGGAAACTTGGTCAAATTACGAAGGGTGAATATAAACAAACAACAAGTATGAAGGGACAAAATTAGAAAAGCCAAGGCACAAAACAAGGGGCTAGTAGGGACATAAAAGGAAACAAGAAAACATTCTACAAATACATTAGAAGCAAGAGGAAGACCAAGGACAGAGCAGACCCGTTACTCAATGAGGGGGGAAAGACAATAACAGAAAATGTGGAAATGGCAGAGGTTCTTAAGGACTTCTTTGTTTCGGTTTTCACCAAGAAGGTTGGTGGCAATTGGATGTCTAACATAGTGAATGCCAGTGAAAATGAGGTAGCATTAAAATCTAAAATAGGGAAAGAACAAGTCAAAAATTACTTAGACGAGTTAGATGTCATGAAATCACCAGGGCCTGATGAAATGCATCCTAGAATACTCAAGGAGCTGACTGAGGAGATATCTGAGCCATTAGCAATTATCTTTGAAAAAGTCATGGAAGACAGGAGACATTCCAAAAGACTGGAAAAGGGCCCATCTATAAAAAGGGAAATAAGGACAACTCGGGGAATTACAGATCAGTCAGTTTAACTTCTGTACCCGGAAAGATAATGGAGCAAATAATTAAGCAATCAATTTGCAAACACCTAGAAGATAATAAGGTGACATATAACAGTCAACATGGATTTGTCAAGAACTCATGTCAAACCAACCTGATAGCTTTCTTTGACAGGGTAACAAACCCCCCCCTTTTTTGGGGGGGGGGAGGTAGATGTGGTATATCCTGACTTTAGTAAGGCTTTTGATACTCTCATGACCTTCTCATACACAAACTAGGGAAATACAACCTAGATGGAGCTACTATAAGGTGGCTACATAACTGGTTGGAAAATCGTTCCCAGAGAGTAATCATCAGTGGTTCAAAGTCATGCTGAAAGGGCATAACGAGTGGGGTCCCACAGGGATAGGTTCTGGGTCCGGTTCTGTTCAATATCCTCATCAATTATTTAGATAATGGCCTAGAGAGTACACTTGTAAAGTTTGTGGATGATACCAACCTGGGAGGGGCTGCAAGTGCTTTGGAGGATAGGATTAAAATTCAAAGTGATCTGAACAAACGAGAAATGGTCTGAAGTAAATAGGATGAAATTCAATAAGGACAAATGCAAAGTACTCCACTTAGGAAGGAACAATTAGTTGCATACATACAAAATGGGAAATGACTGCCTAGGAAGGAGTACTACAGAAAGGGATCTGGGGGTCATAGTGGATCACAAGCTAAATATGAATCAACAGTGTAACACTGTTGCAAAAACAAAGCAAACATCATTCTGGGATGTATTAGCAGCAGTATTGTAAGCAAGACAGGAAAAGTAATTCAGCTGCTCTACTCCGCACTGATTAGGCCTCAACTGGATTATTGTGTCCAGTTCTGGGGGCCACATTTCAGGAAAGATGTGGACACATTGGAGAAAGTCCAGAGAAGAGCAACAAAAATGACTGAAGGTCTAGAAAACATGACCTATGAGGGAAGGCTGAAAAAATTGAGTTTGTTTAGTCTGGATAAGAGGACTGAGAGGGGACACAATAACAGTTTTCAAGTACATAAAAGACTGTTACAAGGAGGAAGGAGAAAAATTGTTCTTCTTAACCTCTTGCATTAGGGTTAAGAGAGGCAGAGGACTCTCGCAGCCTGTTTCTTCATCTGGATTGAGGTAGGGAAAATCCTGCCCTGGATTTCTGGGACAATCTGAAATGGCCTCTAGGGACTGCTCTAGGGTGGAGAATAACTGGAGAATAGCTGTTTGGCAGTGGGAAGTGCTGGGAGGTAGGCAAAGGAGTGGGGATGGGGCGCGCTGGGAGGAGAAGGGGAGCTTGGCTGCTGTGGGTGCAGAACACCCACTAATTTTTCCCCCCGTGGGTGCTCCAGAGCACCCACAGAGTTGGTGCCTATGGCGGGCCGCAGGAAATAACTGCAGGGGCCGCATGCCGCATGTTTGAGACCCCCGCTCTAGAGGATACCATCAGAGATGCTTAGTTTTGCAGTTCTCAAACTGTGGATGTGTGTCTCCAGAGACAACATGCTTGTTAACAGCAAAAATGTTAATAAATAAAACAAACAATCTCAGTCCTACTGTCCCTCTGCAAATTTGCGTACACAGAGTCAATCCCTTACCTCTCTCTAAAAGTGCAAAGTTTCAAAAAGTTCAATGAATAGAAGATTGTTGGGGGTGGAATAAATCTGGACAAGAAGAAGCTTGGAGATAAATGTGAGAAGGGAGGGACAGGCAGTAGAAACAAAAGTGAAACTGTTTGAGCAGCATATTCCAGAAATCTTGAGGTCTTTCTGAGTATAGCCTTCATTGATTTGAGATCTACCATACCATTCTCTCACTAGAAGGGAAAACCTATACATCGGAAAGGATTAAAAAAAAGGGGGTAGAAGCTCCTTTAAAATAAAAAAAAAAAAAAAAAACAGACATTTGCAGGTAACTCAGATTCATTTTCACTTCTGTACAAGAGAGCATCTGCTGGCACAACACAGGAAAATGTTATAATCACACTAAAATCTTACTGTATGTAGTTCCTACATGTACTACAGCATAACTTCAAGTTATTATGACATTTTAAAAAAAGATCTGAACACCTTTTTGCCCAAACATTCCTATTGAGGTCCAGTTAGAAATTTTTATTTCTGAGATTTGCCAAGTCTGAAATAAAATTCACCAAACTCAAATGGTGGACTTAATTTTGCTTAAACAACCCCACCTCCAGATATGAACTTTCAGCCCAAAAGGAAAATTTGTAAGGCAGTTGCAAGCAACTATGAAGAGGGGTAGAGACTTCAACAGTCATCTTCAGACTTCACTGCCACCGACACAGACAGAAAGACAGCTTGTACAACAGATGCTCTAAAGAGAGGCTGTGTTGGATTGTATCATAGCAGCAGGGCCAAAAGAAGGATATCACTTGGGAAGGGTCTGCATGCTGTAGGGCCACGTTAGAGTTACGAAGGAACCAAGAAGTGAGAAGCATGAAGAAGTGTGATGGGGACAGCACAGTAGAGAAAAGAGAGACAGCTAGAAGATTAAGAGGAGATTGGAAAAGGGGCAATGAGGCCAGTAGGAGACTATGGCCTTGTTGACACTGGTGGCAGCATGTGGGGTACATATAATATTATTCCTGGGAAATTTCCAAGCCAAAAAATTTAAAATTCTACACACAAGATTTTTAAATTCTGTATATTTTGTCAAAACACAATATAATCATGCCAGTTTCAATTATTTTGGTAATTTATTTCAAAATATCTGTCAGCAAGTATGTCTGTAACAATACAGACCAAAAAAGACATTCTGGTAATTTTTTTTTTTTTTTTTTTTAAAATCACACAAATAGATTCCTTACTAGGCATATTAATACAGAATTTTGAGTAATTCATTTGAATTACAATACAGAACTGTATTTCCTTCACCTGTCAGAAGCAGTGAAAAGGCTTGGGGGAGTCAGAGGTAATGGAGGAGCTAAGGGAGAGGGTAGGAGCCTGGAGTGAACCTGGAGGGTTGTTGGGTGTGGGTGGCATAAGTACAGAACAGTTTTTTGGGTTTGGGGTGGGGGGAGGGGAGTAAGGATTGTTAGGAAGTTGGGGAGCCTCCCCCATGCAGACCCGGCTGATCCCAAGCCTCTCCCATTCAGTCAGGCACGTCTGCCCCTGTCCTGGCACCTCCCCACCCCCATGGGTGTCTGCAGCCTCCTCCCCACATCCCCATGTGTCCCTGCAGCCCCCTCCCCATATGGCCTTGCACCCTCACTCCCATTCAGCCCCTGGCCCAAGGCTGTCACCCTACTAGCTCCTGAATCTATGCCCCAGTCTGTCCCCCACCCCGCCATACTAGCCATTCTGAACCCCAGTCTCTCTCTCTCTCACACACACACACACACACACACACACACCCAGCAGCTCCATGTGCCCCACTCTGTCCTAACCTGGCTCCATGGGCAGAGTGCTGTGATGAACTTCTACTCCTGGGGTAATTCTGTGCCAATGCACATGCACATAATTCCTCCCCCCCACCCCCTGCCCCGCATAAAATCTTATGTTCTGCCCCAGAATCATAGAATATAAGGGTTGGAAGGGACCCCAGAAGGTCATCTAGTCCAACCCCCTGCTCGAAGCAGGACCAAATCCCAGTTAAATCATCCCAGCCAGGGCTTTGTCAAGCCTGACCTTAAAAACCTCTAAGGAAGGAGATTCTACCACCTCCCTAGGTAATGCGGAAGTGCTGCAGTTCTGCATTTTTCCCCCACCAGAAGCCACTGTGGTCCCAGAACAGCCAGATGTATTCATGCTGCTGGCTGTTCTGGTGCCACAGCAGCCTCTGGTGGGTGAAAGGCGGAACTGCAGCACTTCTGGGGCAGAACGTATTTCCTGCAGAAAAAAATTCTGCGCATAACATGAATTCTGTGCAATGCATCAATTCCTCTGGGAGTGATGACTTGCAGCTGTGAAAAGCAGGCTGTGGTGTGTAGCTACATCTGGCAATGAAAGGCAGAAGGGAAAGGCTCCAGCAGCTCCACCTGCCAGAGCCTTTCCCAGCTGCCTCCCCATTGCATAAGCCTTTCCCTGCTGCTTCAGCCTTTCACAGCAGTGGGACACTACACTCCTAAAACTGGGAGGCATTGCTTGGGTGCTTAGAGAGCCACACAGGGTATACATCTTAAGGTTCAGGCAGGTATCTACTCACTTAAGCAGTGCCATATCAACTACTCTATTTACAAGCGTGCTACGGGTATGTGCAGTGTATATACACTCTACATACTGCCGTAAGAGTAGACTTAGTGCATGGATGGAGAAGGGAAAGAACTTCAGGAAGAGAAGGAGACAGAGGTGGGAAGAGACATGGACAAGGGTTTGGGGCTAAGTTCCTGTAAAATGCCCAGAGCTGCCGGGCAGAGGAGCCCCTTCCCCGGCCCGGCCACGCCAGAACTGCCGCAGCCAGAGACAGGAGCCCCTCCCCGGCCCGGCCCGGCCCAGGCCTGCCAGAGCTGCCGGAGAGAGGAGCCACTCCCCCGGCCCAGCCCAGCCCAGCCCTGCCCCGCCCGAGCTGCCACAGAGAGGTGCCCCTCCCCTGGACCCAAACTGCTGCGGCAAGAGAGGGCGGGGGAGGGAGGGTCCTCTCTCCCCGCCACAGCCCCAAGGCAGCCAACACCCTAAACCCCTCATCCCCAGCCCCACCCCAGAGCCTGCACCACAACCCTCTGCTTCAGCCTGAGCCCCCTCCCGCACCCCAAGCCCCTCATCCCTACCCCCCCAGATCCCACACCCCCAGCCAGAATCCTCATCCCCCTGCACCCCAAGCCTCTGCCCCCTCCCACACTCCAAATCCCTCAACCTCACCCCACATCACCTCCATATTGTTGCACATAACAAATTCATTCCGCACATGGATGTAAAAAAAATATGAGAGAACACACTGGTTTGGGGACCAGAAGGTAGATAAGAGGAAAGGGCTCTGACATTAGGAGAGCCCAGTTCTGGGAGCTCAGGATAGGGAAAGAAGAGACAACAGCTTCAGGACATTGGGGGGTGGGGGGAAGAAAGGGAGCGAGAGAGAGAGAAGGATTTCAAACAAGACTCGAGAGTATAGATGCATCACTCAAAATTGCACAAGGATTATGATATTATATGCCCCTATTCCCCCATGCAGGCACAGCAAGAGAAAGCCCCAAGTAGAAATGCCATGATGAAACTTGTCATTCCCAGGGTGCTGTGGGGTCTGTGATTCAATGCACACACCCCATGCAGAGTGAAAGGCACTTACAGAACAACAGAGGCTGTGGCAGCAGGGAGGTGAATGTGGGTTCTGCTTACACCTGAGAGAAGCAAAGAGGAGAGTTGACAGGAAATTGGGTGGGAGGATGTGTGCGTATGTGCGTAATCCAGACTCCAGCTTTAATGCTGTACCAAGTACCTGGCCCTCATGATCCCTGGCATCACTCACCTCCACGACAGGCCTGAATAAAGAACATTTTGGGCTTGTTCTGGAGATTTGGGCAGTTTGCATTATCAAAGAGCCTGAAAATCTCCTGCAACTGTGAGAAGAAAGAAGAGAGCTAAGCATATCCCCACGGTACTTCCCCCTTCTTTCCATATGTGCCTCCCCATAACTTCCCATAATTTCCCTTTACACTTCTTACATGCAATCTTCTCAGTATTACATTGAGTTCCCCACCAGTTCCCATCCACTCCACATGTGCTTCCAGCCTCCCCAATATCCCTCCTCCCCAGTACCGCTTCGTAAAGCTATGGAAGGGATTAGTATGTCGGAAGGTACCTGCAGTAACTTTCCATCAACTCCATAGATCCCACCCTCGATGCCATGCGAGAGTAGGGCCACAATGCAGGAATCCACATCTCGGTGAGCTGGCAGCTGAGAGAACATCTGCAATGCCTCCTGCATCTCCTGGAGGGAGAGAAACACACTCAGTGGTCCCTTCAGAAAGGGAAACGAGTGGAAGGAGTCAAGTGATACTCCTGGGGCAGTTCTGTGCCACTGCGCATGCAGAATTTACACAGAAATTAATGTTTTCTTGCCCTCCACAAAAATGAACTGCTGGCTGCCACTAGGGGCCGCTGGACCCAGCGGAGCACAGCTTGAAAGTAAAAGACACTGTCAGGAAGAGGGAGAGAGCTGGAGGGTTCCTGGCAGCTGCAGTTCTCAGCACACCCTGAAAGAAGCACGTGACATGCAGGAAACTCCGCACAAGAACTCCACTCAGAATCCAGCATCAGGCTTTTTCTCCCTCTTGATCCCTGGGCTCTGAGGGGGAGGGGGTGCAAGTGTCTGGGCCGGGGGGGCGGCTCACAGCTAGGGTCTTGGGGGAAGTGGGTGTGGGTGTCTGGTCTAGGGGTGCACCACAGCTGGGCTCTGAGGGTTAGGGGGTGCATATGAATGTCTGGCCTGGGGAATACACTCCACAGCTGGGCTCTGGTGGGGCGATGGAGTATGGGTATCTAACTCCCCTAGTGGGCTCTGGGGGGAGGGAGCAGAGAAACAGGAACTGGGGTGTTGTAGGGGTTTCCTTAACACACTATTCCTAAAGGAATTTTTTTGTGTACTGTTACAGAAATAGCTGCCGATAGGTATTTTGAAATAAGTTACCAAAATAATTGAAACTGGCATGATTATATAGTGTTGTTTTCACAAATAAAATATGCAGAATTTTAAAATTATTTGCACAGAATTTTTAATTTTTTGGTGTAGAATTCCCCCAGGAGTAAAGTGAACCATAAACCTAATTTAAAGGGGGAGGATGGAATATTCTAATGCTTTTAAACAGCAGCAAAATGCCCTTATTTCTTTAGTATCTTTCATTCCTAAAAAGAAAAGGAGTACTTGTGGCACCTTAGAGACTAACCAATTTATTTGAGCATGAGCTTTCGTGAGCTACAGCTCACTTCATCAGATGAAGTGAGCTGTAGCTCACGAAAGCTCATGCTCAAATAAATTGGTTAGTCTCTAAGGTGCCGCAAGTACTCCTTTTCTTTTTGCGAATACAGACTAACACGGCTGTTCCTCTGAAACCTTTCATTCCTAAGGATCCCAAAATGTTTTGTAGGCTCTACATAGGAGTCACTCAACCACTTCTGAAATTCAGCTACGTTAAGAGCCATTTGAGAGATAATAAATTTCATAGACAATTACTACACAGGGAGCTTAGGTTGACAGAATATTATTTGCCAGAGCCTGGTAAGGATACTGGGGCAGCTTTTGGGATAAGTGCCCATGGTAACTCAGGTACTTAGATACTAATAGTGATGAACATGGTAGAACTGCCAAGTATCAGAGCGGTAGCCGTGTTAGTCTGTATCCACCAAAACAACGAGAAGTCCGGTGGCATCTTACAGACTAACAGATTTATTTGGGCATAAGCGTTCATGGGTAAAAAAAACCCACTTCTTCAGATGCATGGAGTGAAAATTACAGATACAGTCATAAATATATTGGCACATATCTGTAATTTTCACTCCATGCATCTGAAGAAGTGGGGGTTTTTTACCCATGAAAGCTTATGCCCAAATAAATCTGTTAGGCTTTAAGGTGCCACCGGTGTCCTCATTGTTGTTGTGGTAGAACTGTTTACAATGGATGGATCTTTAATGAATAGACAGGTCCTTGGGTTTGATCTGTTATCCAGAAAATGGCTTCTGGAGCAACACAGCACCCCTTAGTGTGCATCACTTGGTTTACTATCAACTCAGAGGGAAAAACACTCCTACTGAACTAGCAAATGAAGAACAAGTTTGCTGAGGAGACCGATGTCTACTGGCAAGACCATAGGCCTGGAAGTCAAAAGACCTGGGTTTTAAGAGAACCTCTAACCTTAACTTCCACAAGACTTTGTGCAAGTCACTTCAGTTTCACCATCTACAAAATGGGTTAATACTTTACACTCTCACCGTGAGGCATAATCAGTGAATATTTGTGAGGTTCTACAAGATCCTCAGAATGAAATAGAGAAATTCTGATTATTTAACCAGAACAAAAAACCAACCCCGCCCTTTGTTAACATTAAATTAAGCTTGTTGGTGTAACAAACGTTAGGAAAAAATACTACAGCTGCAGTTAAACCCCCAGCTTTACTACTGAAGAGTATGACAGTAATAAGGTAACATCCCTAAAGATCTGAATCCTTCACAGACCATATATTCTCTAACACAAATATTTATGTGGAAACATTAATCTGAGACCTTCCATACAGGGGCTCTCAAACACTTTCATATTGTTGACCATATCCTAATAGAGAGAATGTCTCATGGACACCACCCCTTACCATTACTCTGCCCCATCCTTCCCTTCCATTTACTCTCAGCTTGTCCCCAAGACACCAATGCAATAGCTACAAATCCCCAACCCCAACCTCTAGGCAGCAAAGGAACCTCCTCACCGGCACAGTTTGATCGTGCAGGACAGTCACCCTGTAGCCAAGGTGCTTGAAAAGCATCTCCAGAGCAGTGTAATCCACATCTCCACCTGAACGGAACTCCAGGTCCTTCTCACTGCTGAAATGCATGTTGCTGAGCACAAGTGCCAGGCCCCGGGGCTGTGATATCAACTTATATGACTGTTAACAGAGAAGGGCAGAAATAGATAAACCCAGCTATGTGGGAAAAGAAATAAAGTTACAGGGTACTACACATCCACTCCATTATTGTGATGAGGTGTGCAAGACCTTTGGGGCACAAGAGATGCAAAGATACAGATAGAGAAACCATCTCGGGCTAGAAACGCTCTATTTTGCTTCCCACATGGGGTGAAGGCTCCATCATCTGTGACAGGTACTGAGACATACAGACCACCGTGGAGGATTAGGTGCTTCTCCCATAGGATTTGTACAGAATACTCATCCAGTTCCTGTGAATCTAGGGAGCAACTCCTCCCTTTCCAGCTGAGACAAAACGAAAGCAGCAGAGTTTGTCAGTCCCAACACAGATGAAACAGATGTATGCACGGACTGACAGGCACATGTAGTTGTGAATGTTGGCACAAAGAGTGACAGACTGGAATAGCTGTTTCAAGAAGGCCTGTAGGGTCTGTAGCACAGGATTATGACATTGATCTAGGGTTTTCTCCGACTCTTGCTGGTGGGAGTCGCATGAGGTGGACTATGGCAGGTAACACCTTTGAGTTACATGTGTGTCAATATTATATATATATTTACAGCCCAAAAATGCATTTTTCTTCACCCAGCCTGCTTGTGGAGTGCTCTTTCTTCAGCTCATCCAACCATCCCACCTCAGTTCCTGCCCCACCAAGTACTCACCAAGCGCTGGTGAGCATAATAGAATTCTGGGGTGCATGGCTTCACCGGAACGTAAGGAGGACCATCTCCATTATCCAAGGAATGCTCCATCAGCTCTGTTTGATACAAAAAAAATCAGCAATGAACAAATGAAAGATCTGGCTGCAAAACATATTTAATATGAAACAGTTACTTAGACATAGTATACAGTGCTTCACATACTGAAAGCACTGCACAAATGTTAACTAGCTAATGTTAAAGTGTGGTTCTACTGTAAGATGTTTTCACTCATCTTTCATCCAGTAGGTCAGCCCCTTGTGGGTATTTGGGGTCAGCTCTGTGATGTGAATGAGAAGTTATTACTGCTTTTACTGCTGTTTGCCCTTTACAAGTAAGTATTTACAAACAATACTTCTCAGAGAAAGGAACTGGTGCCTATTGCTTCTTGTGCATCAACAGAATTGTTTACCAAGTCCCAAATCAGTTACATCCATGCAAACCCATTAAAGGAAACTGGACTGGGGACAAGGGACACAGTTTGATTTATCAAACTGGGCTTTCTCCTCTGCATTCATCACCACCAATTATTCCTTCAGTGACACTCATGCAAACCCAGGGTTTTTATTGGCTTTTGTATCACTTCAATTAATTTGAACTGCACAACAGGAAAGGGAACCTAGCTCACTCCTTCTGAGCTATGCTGTTTCTGCAGCAGAAGAAAAAAAAGCAGTAGAATCTTTGTAGTTATTAAAAGGAGTATACACGACTGAATAATACACATAGGAAGCAGTCTTCTAAAAGATCATTTTTAGTCACTTTTCAGTCACCTGCAATGGGACTGGGATCCCATAATATGGCAGAACCAGCTGCCATAATAGCAGGAACAGGTAAAATGTATTTTGTTGCAAGCGGCGTTGGGTGGGCAAAAGAAAAGAAAAAAAAACCCACCACACAGACTGTGGTAATTTGCAGGAAAACACTAAGTCTCTCATCGGTTTACCAAAAGTCGCCTATTCAGGAAATTGCTAAATATTTTGTCTGAGCCTCTCTCTCCTATATATGTTTATCTCCCTTGCCCCGAATCCGGTGTAGTACACCGGCTCAAGTCTGGTCAGAGAATCACACTCACAGGTTTTGTTGTTCTGTGATGTCACATACTGTCACTCACAGGCGCCAGTTTCTAATTTTCCCCAAAGGTACTCAATCTCCACTCAGCCCCAGGCCCCGCCCCCACTCTACTCCTTCCCCCAAGGCCCCACCTCTTCCTGCCCCCGCTCCACCCCACCCCGCCTCTTTCTGCTCCCTCCCAGCACCTCATGCCCCTGAACAGCTGTTCTACTGCATGCAGGAGAGAGAGGGAGGAGCTGATGAGCAGGGACCTGCAGTGGGCAGGAGTGGGGTGGAGGGAGGGGAGCTTGACTGCTGGTGGGTGCTAAGCACCAACAAATTTTTCTCCGTGGGTGGTTAGCACCTATGCCGTCACTGTTGTACCAGCTTGCTGTCAGTTCTGTGAGCAGTTTTTCTGTTAAATTTTTTTCAAAAAGCAACAGTAATCCTGATACATACCATTCAAGTTATTTCGGTATCAAAGTTCTAAAAACGGCACTTAAGCGATTTAAACAATTCCAGTTTGGGGGTTTTTTTAAACTTACTTTTTATAATCATTGAAAAAACCTGCACCTTTTAAGGCAAAACTGTGGTAGTTTGTTTTGACATTCCTTGTGATATACACAGGATGGCAGTGTGTCAATTAGAATTTCAGACATGTAAAGGAAGTTTTTATTTTTATTTTTTAATTAAAAGTTCTTAATTCTTACATTTAAGCAAGGGATTAAAAAAAAAGAGAGATGATGTGCTAAGTTCCCTGTAAGCTGTGCCTATTTAGCACCACGCAGGCACTTGGGGAACCCGCCCAGCCGGGACTTGCCACTCACCGGGGAGTGCTTGACCCCCCCGACCCCTTCCCCAAGTCCCTGCCCACACTCTGCCTTCCCTGCCCCACCTCTTCCCCAGAACACACCCCATCCCCACTTCTCCCTCCCAGACCTTCCGACACACCGCAAAACAGCTGTTTGTGGCAGGTGGGAGGTGCTGGGAGGGAGGGGGAGGAGTTGGTCAATGGGGCTGCCAGCAGGTGAGAGGAGCTGGGGGAGGGGGAAGCTTGGCTGCCAGTGGGTGCTGCTGAGCAGCACCTGCTAATTTTAATCTGTGGGTGCTCCAGCCCTGGAACATCCACAGAGTCAGTCTATGGGGGCACCCACTCAGCCCCAGACCTGCCCATGATGTTTCACTCCATATTCTTTATGAAAATAGGTTTATGATCTTAATAGGACATAACTGATATATACTCTATGCAAGATGGCTCAAGTGACATATCATTGGAAAGGTTATGATTTACTGAATGTGATTATCCAATTTGTATGCCTGTATCATTTCTGTATCTGAAGTAGGAATATTAACTATGTATCTGTATTTCAAATGTGTGACTTTGGGTGTCACCCCCAACCAGCCCTTTAGGTATAACAATGGAAAAGCCAGACAGGGCTAATGGGCCATTAGCAGAGACAATGGACTGTGAAAGAGATTAGTCTTCCTGTGGATGCTGGAGACAGCCTACAGGCAATGCCTGCCACAGCCATGCAGAGTCATGGGTCTGAATCACCTGGTACTGGATACTCCTCCCCTTTTGGAATGCCAGTGGTTTTCCACTAGAAGACAGAGTTCCCGCCTTACACAAGAGCTATATAAGGCAGGGAGTGACATCATTAGGAGTCTCCTCTGCCTCCCCAGCCTAAGAAACACTGCAAAAGACCTGAAAGCAAGAACTGAACTGGAGGGAGAAATATTGAGCCCAAGCTGGAAGGGTATCTAGCTTGTGAGTAATACTAACCGAGGTTTCAAGATGGAGACCAGAGCATTTGTCTTTCAAAACCTTCTGTAATCTGCCTGCAACAATATCTAGGGTGAGAAATTACTATTTGTAACCAATTTCTTTAGTGAAACAAACTTAGTTTAAGTGTTTGTTTTTATTTCCTTAGTAATCTACTTTGTTCTGTTTGCTATCGCTTTAACCACTCAAAACCTGCCTTTTATAGTTAATAAAATTTATTTTGTTTCTTATTAAACTCAGTTTCTGTCATTTCTAATTGGGCGGGGTGGGGGAGAAGAGAAAAGACGTGCATTCTTTCCTCTACATTGAGAGAGGAGGCGGATTTCCTAATATACCTTTGGGTCTGCACTCGAAGGGAGATGGACACCTGAGTGCTTGGGCAAGTCCCTTAAGCTGAGCCTTCCCAGATCTGATCTCAGTCTGTTTTGTTCTGCAGTGGGGTGTGGCCCTGCCTGTCTGTTTGCTGGAGGAGGCTTAATGGCCTAAGGCTGGCATAACAGGCGGGCTCAGTGGTATCCCAGCACATCAGGTGGCATCCTAAGGGGTCCAACCTGTCACACTGGGTGGCCAGGGGAGGGGTAGCCTGGACCTGCCACTGGTCCATGCTAAGGTGGAGCTGGGCACCAGAAGTGAAAGCAGGGAACCTGTCTGTTGGGGTACCATTAAAAGCAACTACATATCCAGGCACTAAAACTGCACTCACAGAAAAAACTCTAATGAAGTTTCTTTGCAATGATTCACAAACAAAACTGGACTTTAAATTAAAAAAAAAAAAAAAAAAGTTAAGAAATGTTGACATTAAAGAATCATCATGTTTTTCATAACTCCCCCTTCCCAAAAGATTAAGGGGAGCACAGAATCACATACTGATGCGTAACAATGAAATACAAAATGAAGAATTGTTAATGGTAAGATTAAGAGTATTGATACCTATACTTTTAATAGTTTGTAATTCTATATAGTGAATGAACACAGATGAGGTAAATGATTAGACCAAGTCCTTGCTAGCGTAAGTGTGATTTTGCCAATTCTTCCTTTACATAGGATTGCTAATCTTCTTTACCCTTTTTCTATAAGCAATATCACGTTATGTGTGTGTTGAAAGATGTAAGTAAGAGATACACAAACATGTAATGATAAATAAACCCCTCCTTTTTCTGAAAAGGCCCAGGACATGATCCAAAAACTGCAAAACCAGCAGGAAATACGTAGAAGTTGGGTAATTGAAGCTTACACATGAGTAAAATCCAAAGAAGAGCGGTGCTAAAAGCTGACTGGATAAAGATTAATCTGTAACGTAGAAATGTATAGTGAACATGGACCTAAAGTGGAAAAACACTGGACCAGAAACTGAAGAATGGGACCAAGGGATGAGAGAAAGCAATGTCTATCATGGAAGGTGGAAGACCTTCCCAGTGCCCCAAAATGTAGTAATTTGGGCCATTTACTAGTTCTGTCTTGTCTGTTATTATTTGTTTGGCATAAAGGTATATCCAGACATTATAAGTGACAATAATTCTGTCTGAAATTGTTGAATAAAGGCAAAAAATTGATTAGGCCTAATTTGGGTGGACGTGTGACTTGTTTCCCCAACCTTTACTCCCATCATTGTCCCTTTTCTGTCTCTCTCTCTCTCTCCTATGCTGGCTGGGACAAGGATCCAGTGGAGGCAAGAACACTTAGGTTGGATGAGAAGTCCCAGAATGGAAGAGTAACAGACATCCAGTCAGGATGGGGTATATGTAGGTAATAAAGAAAGAGGTTGGGGACTAGAGCAAGGGGACTAAAGGGATCACATTTCTTTTAGTATCACAAGTTTTTTTTGTGATTTAACTCTGTTTGTCTTAGTAATTATTTAAAATTTTCATTTGCTGCCTTTTTTTTATTAGAACATAAAACTCATTATTATATGATCCACAGAACCGAATCAGTAAAACATGCACGTGCCATAGATTTGTAACTTTTACTTTACTGACGTAATCCTTCCTTCCTCCCCCTACTGTTTGCTAACCCCAGATGTCAAATCACATCTAAAATTAGATTGTAAACTGATTGGGACTGTGTGGCTGTGCCTTTCTTTTGTTTTGTAAAAGCACTCACCATACTTGTGGGTGCTGTTAAGATAACAATATAATCCTCTCATAATCTCTAGTGCTAACTCAAGCTCTCATTCTCTATATTCTGTCCCTCTCTTCTCATACATCTTAAACTTAAAAAGAAGAATTTTAAAACTCAGAATTTTACAGTTCACACATTTTGCTTACATAATGCAGTTACTTCTATGATTGTATGAACCATGATGAAAGCTAATTAGAAACTGATTTGCTGTCTCTTCCACTAGGCTCACAGTCATTTCTCAACTAAATTCTTCCTCCAGCAACAAACTCAAAAAAGCTAATCTAACAAAGTATATTTCTAATATCCCACATCTCAAGACATTCTTGGTGAAAAGTGTGTGTTACCATTGGAACTTCCAGATTTCTGGGCTAAGCAAAATGGTGTGCAGTATTTCAGAGAAGGAGAGCAAGTAGTAGTCCATTTTGCCCCTTGAAGAAATGGCCAATTCAACCTTCACTATGCCTTGGATTACTCACCACGAATCCGGCATGGTCTCTTTGGTGAGAAGCAGGATTCACGAACTGGGAACGGGACACTTGACTCGTAACCTTGGCCCAGCTGCAAGAGATTATAGAAATCCATGAAGTCACCAGTCGAAGATTCCTGTTAATCTGTCCAGTACAGAACTGTAGGGATTGAGGAATTGAATATAAAACTTTAAACCTTTAGATCACCAACTCTGATCCAGATCTCAGTCACAAGGAATGCGTGGCTCAAGAGGATTAGGCTATGTTTTCTTTAAACTCAAGATCTCTTCTTCTCCATGCTCACATAATCCCATCTGAATCCCCCTGAAGAGTTCCCCCTCCGCACATTCAGGGGGCCCTCTCTGGATTCATCTTTATTCTCAGCTATATGCCCCACTCAACCTCCTCCTCCCCCACCATTCCCCTCTTTTAGGCTACTTTCAAAGGGTTTTTTTAAATTGTGCTGGTGCTTCCCCCTGCCCTTGCCTCTTTATGAGGTATAAAAAATGCCTGGGAAGTGTTGTATTTTTACCAAAAGGATTTTTCTGCTTGTTTTTAACAATCAGGATCGTAAAATCTGGTCTTTCCCAGGTATAAAGTGCTTATTGAGAGATCTTATCACCATAGTTAATATGGTAATGGTACTGAATCTTTAACAAAGACTTCCTTTATTCCAACATTAGCCACTGTAAATAAAAAAGCAAGAACAAAATCCCTTCCCCTCTTAACAACTCACTTTCACCAGCTCTCTAGTCAGAGAATCTTCCACCCTTAGACAGTACCCAAACTTTAATGTAAAAAAGCACCACAACAAACCTTTTCAGGCCTTTATACTTCTTCACAGTATATGAGCCCAATTCACAGTATATTATCCCCACAACCCTTTGCTTATCACTTATTACACTCAGGTTCTCCCCCAATCTCTTCTCACCCCCAAAAGCCAAAAATTTCTTTTGTTTACATTCAAGGTACACCCGCCCTTCATGATCACATCTATTCCCAAATAAGTTCCATTCTCCCGATTTTGTAGCCCTCTCTTACCCTTGAAATCCCATTGCTCAGGCTGGGTATGGCATTCAAGAGCATTTCCTCCAGGTGCTGCTGTTTGGTTTCTCGCAGAGCTTCACAGAAGGCTGAGAAGGCTGTGGGGCCCCTCTTGGGCAGCAGATTGAGTAACTCTACATTTTGGCTGAAGCTCCCAGCCTTAGCCTGGATCCACAGATAAGAAAATTAAAACCAGAACAAAAAACCCCTCCAGAATTAATTTTAATTACACCTCAAAATGAGTTTCAAATCCTCTTCCCTCATCTGAGATCACAGAATCATAGAATATCAGTGTTGGAAGGGACCTTAGGAGGTCATCTAGTCCAACTCCCTGCTCAAATGCTCCATCATCATGCCCTCTAGGCTGTGTATCTTTCATATTTTTCCTCTACATGATTCTTACCCCCACTTCCCTGTACAGTATCTATCCTGTTCTTCCTTTATTCCACACTCTGCATTCTAACACAATTTCCATCATATCCCAACCACTCAATTCCAGGTCCCATATATTTATATACAAATCCATCAGAAAATGTGTTAGTATAAGCATAATGTTTCCTTGTTAAATATGAAAAATGTTACAAGATGCTATATATAAGTATCTAAACTGGTAGGAAAAAAGAACTATGACATAGTATTTGAGAAATAATACAAGATTGCATAATTAAAGACAAATGTAATAAGGAACATTTATATGAGCATTAACAGTTTTTTGGATGAAATTTCTTAGGGTTTAAAAAAGAAAAAAACTTCCATGTCATGGAAATTTATCGCTGGAGTTCATCAGAATGGTCTATGCCACATACCTTATGAATGTTGCCCAAAGGACTCTGTGCACGTCACTACATTTTTTACACTGTTCAGGTAAATTAGCTGTACACATACGTGCACCTCAGCCTCAACATTCAAATGCCCTTTCATGCTTCGGCCACCATTCCAGAGAACATGCTGAAGATGCTCATTAAAAAAAATAATGCATTAATTAAATTTGTGACTGACCTCCTTTGGGGAGAATTGTATGTCTCCAGCTCTATTTTACCTGCATTCTGCCATATTTCATGTTATAGTAGTCTCAGATGATGACTCAGCACATGTTCATTTTAAGAACACTTTCACTGCAGACTTGACAAAATGCAAAGACAGTACGAATGTGAGATTTCTAAAGATAGCTACAGTACTTGACCAAAGGTTTAAGAATCTGAAGTGTCTTCCAAAATCTGAGAGGGATGAGGTGTGGAGCATGGTTTCACAAGTCTTAAAAGAGCAACACTCTGATGCAGAAACTACAGAACCCGAACCACCAAAACAGAAAATCAATCGTCTGCTGATGGCACCTGACTCAGATGATGAAAATGAACATGTATCGGTCCGCACTGCTTTGGATTGATATCAAGCAGAACCTATCACCAGCATGGAAACATATCCTCTTGAATAGTGGTTGAAGTATTAAGGGACATATGAATCTTTAGCACATCTGGCATGTAAATATCTTTGCTGGCTACAATAGTGACATGAGAACGCCTTTTCTCACTTTCAGGTGACACTGTAAACAAGAAGCGGGCAGCATTATCTCCTGCAAATGTAAATGATCTTGTTTGTCTGAGCGATTGGCTGAAGAAATAGGATTGAGTGGACTTGTACGCTCTAAAGTTTTACATTGTTTTATTTTTGAATGCAGTTATTTTTTGTACATTATTCTACATTTGTAAGTTCCACTTTCATGACAAAGAGATTGCACTACAGTATTTGTATTAGGTGAATTGAAAAATACTATTTCTTTTGGTTTTTTACAGTGCAGATATTTGTAATCAAAAATAAAGGGAGCACTGTATAATTTGTATTGTGTTAGAATTAAAATATATTTGAAAATTTAGAAAACATCCAACAATATTTAAATGGTATTCTGTTACCGTTTACTAGTGTGATTAATTACGATTAATTTTTTTAATCACTTGACAGCCCTACTTATAAGAGATGAATGTCCCAACTGATCAGTCCCTACTGCTCTAGCTAGGATAATAGCACCTTGCCCTTCTTAGTACCTATCTGCAATCATTAGACCACTTGCTATCCAACCTTCTTAAAGCAGTCTACACAACATTGTTTTTTTTAATAATTTTATTGGAGAAGCAATTAATGGCCACAATCAGGATTGGCCCCACTGTACAAGCACATAACGTATAATCAAAGACATGAATGTATTTCAGCATTATTGCACCCTTTTGAAGGCAGATGTTATCCTAGGGAAACTGAGTTGAGGTGAAGTTACTTGCAAAGATAACGCTGTACATCTATAACAGAGATATGATTACAATGATATCACACCAGTGACTATCAGACCTGTGTTTTAAAAATAACCTGCAAACCTTTCTTGAGTTTGTTCACCTTTTCCAATTTATGAGATTCATGCTCCATGAAGATCCACTTTTGTTTTACTTATTTTTGTCAAAACCACTACTTTCATCAGGACCTATTAAAAATAGAGGCTCTGACCCCATGCCCTCACAGAAAAACCTGAGAGGACTTATGCTCCACCCACTGCTGACATTAGTGCTATTTACATGGCAAGTGGATGCAAATAGCATTCTGTTCTCTGTCTTCTTTTGTTTGGTTAAGCTTCTACACAGCTGCCTCTCATCACTGACAGGGTGTCCTACAGGTGACCTCAACCAACTAACACCTATTTAAATACGGACTTGTTCTTGCCTATGCTACATGCTAACTCAAGTTTAAAATATTAGTTAAACTATTTTAGGACACAATGCTTTTCCTTAACAGAGAAAACATAGCCAGAGTTTTCAAAGTACTGGGGGCAGGGGAGGGGAGGACACAGACCAGCTCAGACTGCAAACCTGAAATTAATATGAACATGGGTTTGGTGATGTCACTATTTCACAGAAAACAAAATTATACAAACTGCTTAGGCCAAACAGGAGTGTGAGGAATACCTGTATAGTTTCCATCATTTCTATGGTGATAACGTCCTTCTCTATAAGATGCTCCAGCAATTCCTTCAACACCAGCTGCTTTGCCAGTGACACCCTGTTCTTCTTTAGAACCTCTTGGTGACATCGTTGCATGCCACATGTACCCAGCATCCTGTCAAAGGGGAAAGAAAACACACAAGCCCCAGCATGAGGGTCAACAGTTCTCCCCACACAGCGGGGGGGGGGGGGGGAGAGAGCATTAATAACAAACCTAGAAAGGACACCCTCGTCCATCCAACTGGCACCGAGACAGCCCAGCCAGCAGTCCCACCCCACCATATGCTATCACTGGGCAGGGACAACTAGCTGAGTGTGATTTCACCTCCTGAGCGTTTCCGCCCAGGCGCTGGTATAGCCCAGCTAACTCTTAGTAATCTGCCTCAATATCCCCAGGATGTCTCCTCCCTGCCCCATGGGGCACTGCAGTCTGTCACTCGCCTCCCCTGCCCATCCCCAGAGGGCTCTGCTCCCCTACGTGGGCTGGCATCCCTCTCCCTAGGCGGGGCACTGGCTGCCAGGGCGGGGCATTGCCCCTGCTCTCCCAGGGCACATTGGCCCTGACGCACCCGCTACTAGCCAGGCTGCCTCTGCTCCCCCGCCCAGACCTGTTGCACGGGTGGCCCAGGCCCTGTCCGCCGTGCTCCAAGGCTGTTCCCGCCGGGGGTGACTTACGCGGGGAGGGGAGAGAACGGTCAGTAAGAGGCACTGAGGCTGCTCCACTTCCGTCCCCTCGTGCTGGGTCCGTTGCACGGATCACTCACCTGCTCTTCCCGCGCGCTACAGCGCGCACCCGCTTCTCTGAGCTGGGGATTCAAACAAGGCACCCGCTCCTCTGGATCACGTGAGCCAGGCTCCTGTAATGGAAACCCCTCCCTCCGGGATAGCCTCAACGGCCCCTAGCACCTACACAAAATTGGGCACTGTCCATATGCGCATGCGTAGTCCCCTCATCTCCCTCCCCCTCCCGTGGATGTGCATGGGGCCTGCAGCCGAGGGATTTTCAGCCTTCTGGAGTTTACGCGCATGCGTCTATGTTCCTTCACAAGAAGGAGAGGGGCGTGGTCTGGGCGGGCAAGGCAGCTGTGCGCGTGCGCCGGTCGCAGGAGAGGTGGGGGCAGAGCGGGGGCTTCCGTGACGGGTCTGCGGGGACAGTTTTGGCGTGGCGGCGACGAGGGCGCCCCGCGAGCCCCCTTGGTGTTTACTGCCCACGTGGCAGGGCAGCCGGATCCCTATTCCGCGCAGTACCCGGCTGACAGCGCCGCCGCTGCGGGCCCTGCGTCGCTGGCTTCTCTCCACCCCTTGACCACGCTCCCCCGCCGCTCCCCGCCCCCTGGTCGCTCCTCTCGGGCAGGGGTCGGTACCACCATGTTGCCCGATGGGTGCCTGACAAAATTACCGTACTTAGTGACGGACATTGTGGGGGGAAGAGGATATGTCATTTAGTCATTCAGTTTTTTGAAAAATTACCACAGACCTCAGCATTTTTACCATGGACACTTGTGTCCATCTATGGACACGTTGTTGACCCCTGCTCTGGGGCTGCTACTTGGGGGGGAGGGGCGGTCTGGGACTACGCTTGCCAAATTTCTCAGTGGATCCCCTGCCCCGCCTCTCCCCTGGAGCGCAGCTTCGCACCCTATCTCTTCTCTCAAGGTCTCTCCCCGTTTGCTCCTCTCTCTCTCTCTCTCCCTCCCCATCCCCTGTGGCTCCTTGATCACTACGCTTCTGTCCTTCCCCTTTCCAGGTTACTGGATCTTCTCCATCTCCCCCCCGCTCCACCACCAGCTGGGGGCCCTCTGTTCTGGGGCTGGGATGTGAGCTACAGCCCCTGATGCGGAGCCTGTCGGCCCATGAGATGCTGACACCCTCTCCCATTCATGGTAACCGGACATGGTACCAGTCCCCTTTTGTCCAGGCTTTCCAGTTGAAAACAAGGCACCTAGCAACCCTAAAATGCACCCAGGCAGATGGGATCCCCACGCTGCCACTCCCTCCACTCTGCTTTGCTCCCATAGTTGGGGTAGGGCTGCCAATTTGCATGATTTTATCAGCAGTCTTGGGATAGTTGTTGCTTTTCTGAAAGCCTCAGTTCCTGGAGTCCTGGGATTATGTGGGGGGGAAAAAAAGGTTTCAGCCTTCCTGATTGCAAAGAAAAACTTGAAATTGTGTCCCACAAAGACTCTGACACCAGAAGACAAATTAGAAAGAACCCAAAGTCATTTTAAAAATAGCTCATTTTTAAGTCAATCATGTTTTTTTTATTTATTTATTTATTTTGGAGCTTGACTCATAATTTTTTATGCTAGTGGTTGGCAACTTTTTTAATATATATATATTACTCTTATGCCAGTGTTCGTGCTTAGGATGGAAAGTAATCTCTTCTGCTCCACTCTGACATTTACTGCTGCTTCTGTCTGCTCTGTGGTGCTGACATCAACTGTTCTGTCCTCCCTGCTACGGGTTTTTCTTAAGGTTTATCTTGGACATCCTCATTTCCTCACACCCGTTGGTTCCCACTTGATGGCTTCATGTGGGAGTCCCTGTGTACTTGCTCTAAATGTGTCCAGCACTTTCTTCTGATTCTGGTGAAGATTTTTCAAATCTGTTTGTTGGTGAAAGTCTCTCCAGCCAATGCTCAAAATCTTTCACAGGCACTTATTTTTTAACATGTCTAGTTTTCTGTCTGTTGTTTTGGTGAATCTCCAGCTCTCATAGCCATAGGTTACCACTGAGATTATGTTCAAGTTGACAATTCTCAGTTTTGTTCTGGTATTGTGTATCTTTTTGATTTCCATGCTTTGTCAAGTTTAGCAAATGCTGTGGATGCCTTTTCTATCTTTGGTGTCCTTTTCTTCTTGAGGTGGCCATTGACTTACAGGGTATGTGATCTGTTATACTTTCTTGATATTTTTGCCTTCTAATATGATGATGTTGCCTGATGTCAGGGTTTCAAGGAGTTTCTTTTAGCATAACTGATTCTGAGCCCTATTTGGCCTCCTGTTTTTACCAAATTGTCTTAATTTTTAGCTTTTTGGAAGGTATCACTCAGTAGCACAATATTGTCAGCAAAGTTCTAGGTATTTGCCATCTATCCATGCTATACCAGAGTTTGTGTTGCTCGTACACTTCTTCACTCTCCAGTCTATGGCAATGCCAAACAACAGTAGATATATCAATTATTTAGATAATGGCATAGAGAGTACACTTATAAAGTTTGTGGATGATACCAAGCTTGGAGGGGTTGCAAGTGCTTTGGAGGATAGGATTATAATTCAAAATGATCTGGACAAACTGGAGAAATGACTGAAGTAAATAGGATGAAATTCAATAAGGATAAATGCAGAGTACTCCACTTAGGAAGGAACAATGAGTTGCACCCGTACAAAATGGGAAATGAATGCCCAGGAAGGAGCACTGCGGGGAGAGATCTGAGGGGGGTCATAGTGGACCACAAGTTAAATATGAGTCCACAGTGTAATACTGTTGAAAAAAAGCTAACATCAGTCTGGGATGTATTAGCAAGAGTGTTGTAAGCAAGACATGAGAAGTAATTCTTCCGCTGTACTTCATGCTGATTAGGCCTCAATTGGAGTATTGTGTCCAGTTCTGGGCACCACATTTCAGGAAAGATGTGGACAAATTGGAGAAAGTCCAGAGAAGAGCAACAAAAATTATTAAAGGTCTAGAACAGAGGTTAGTTCCCTCTAAGGTGCATGCCTGGGCAGCCGCACACAAGAGAATGAAGGACCATCCACCTAATTAGTGGAGCTGTGCAGGCATGGCTCCACTAATTAAGTGCCTGGACCCTGGAGAAGACCCACATGTAAGGTGAGGTGGTGGTCTTGGGGGAATAAGGGATAGGTGGGAGGGGGAAGTGGGGTGATAAGAGGGGGTGGGAGGAATTTGGGATGTGCAGGGTTGCAGCGGCCAGAGAAAGAGGTGACTTTCCCCAGCTCCGGGTCTGTGGCTGCCGGGAGAGACGGCCCTCCTTCCCAGTCTCAGCTCTGTGGCTGCTGTAGCGGGGGAGAAATGCCCCTCCTTCCCAGCCCAGCTCAGTGGCTGCCGTGGCAGGGGAGACCCCCTTCCTTCCCAGCCCCAGCAGGGGAGAGAGGGCACATCCATTGCATTAGAAAGGTAAGACTACTGATATTAAAATATGAGTTGTGTGTTCTTATTTGTAGAACAAAAAAAGTTTATTATTTTTAAGTTTTTATTATATAGCGCTTCTATCCAAAATGCTTTACAATAGTTAGCTAATGGTACAAACAACATTTGGAAAGACCCTCAGCAGTTTTCAAGTGGTCCGCAAAAAAAAAAGTTTGAGAACCACTGGTCTAGAAAACATGCCTTATGAAGGAAGATTGAAAAAATTGGGTTTGTTTTGTCTGGAAAAGAGAAGACTGGGAGGGGACATAATACTTTTCAAGTACATAAAAGGTTGTTACAAGAAGAAGGGAGAAAAATTGTTCTTGTTAACCTCTGAGGATAGGACAAGAAGCAATGGGCTTAAATTGCAGCAAGGGAGGTTTAGGTTGGACATTAGGAAAAACTTCCTAGCTGTCAGGGTGGTTAAGTACTGGAATAAATTGCCCAGGGAGGTTGTGGAATCTCCATCATTGGAGATTTTTAAGAGCAGGTTAGACAAACACCTGTCAGGGATGGTCTAGATACTTAGTCCCGTCATGAGTGCAAGGGATTGGACTAGATGACCTCTCAAGGTCCCTTCCCGTTCTATGATTCTATAAAGTGCAGCCTTGTTTTATGCCAGTGTCCATATTAAATCACTGTGTTGTCTGGTTGTTCACTCTTACAGAGCAGAGTGCATCTTTATGCCTGGTCTTGATGATGATGTCAGCTTTAGCTGGGGTTCCATAAGATGAGAATATTCCATAATGTTTGTCTGTGTAGGCAGGGCCTGATTAACCTTTTGTGGGCCCCAGCACCAAACATATTTGTGGGCTCCGAGTGTGGGCCTGGTGTGGCAGTGCCATTGGTGCCATAGTATACCCAGTACTAAATCTCTGAGACACAGTCCAAAGGGGCCCCAGCCGGCCCAGCCTGCTCTGCTTGGGCTGCAGCCCCATCAGCTCTTCTCCGCCCCCCGCCTCTGTCCCATACTGTTAGCCGACGGCCAAGGATGTTTGGTGAGGTGCCAGCTATGCCCGTTTATACCATGCGTGACTTTAACCGCTAGGACGCACTGTCCCTTCACGGCGGGCAGCCCGGGCTAGGCTGACGGATGCCCCAAGGTCCTAACCACCCGTGACTTTAACTGCTAGAGCTCAGAGCTCCTTCGCAGCGGGCAGTCAATACTGACTGACAGGTGCCCCAATGGCAGCACTAAGAGCCTCTCCACACCCGTGACTTTAACTGCTAGAGCTCAGAGCTCCTTCGCAGCGGGCAGCCAGGATTGACTGACAGGTGCCCCAAGAGTTTGCCCCGTGGAGGCAGCACAACTCAACGCTAGGCTCTTAGTACTCTCACCTAATGGCCAGGCTTTAGAGCCAAAACGGCTGAGGTTCTTTAATTGTGTTGGCTGCTTTACAGTAAACCAGAGAAAACAAGTCAGGCTTATGCACAAATGGTTACCAAAAATTTATTAAGCTAGATTCTAATCATGTGGTTACAAAATTGCTAGTGCCTACTTATTTAAATGTAGAGATGTTACACACACAAACAAGTTACAAAACTGAAGCCACAATCCCAAAGAAAGAAAACGAAGTATAGAGCTCTATTTCAAAATATGTGTACACTAAAGATAGGAGATCAGGTGTGGGTGCTTTTTACCCTCCTTGCATCTCTCGATTCCAGCGGTGCCAAGCCAGGATCGGTCACTCAATTCTGCGGAAAGACGAATAAGGGACAAGGCTTAGGGACCCTCTTAGCTGCAGAAGCCTTGGGAGGCTGTCACTTATCTGACCAGCAGATAGATAGTGAAAAGCACTCAAAAATCATGGTGCTGTAGGTCCCCTACTTATACCTCTGTACTCCTTTATTCTCTTTT